GGCTGCACGGTAGCAACTGCTGTGTAAATGCAAGGGAGAGTTATGACAACTCAAAGCTCTGGGAGTATTAACTCTCTCTCCTGTGTGGAGTTTGGGTGGGTGGGCAGGTGATAGTTCCTCAGATTGCCTGGTCCCCTGTTCCTCCTCCTCTTCCCTTCATGTGAGAGATGACACTGCTTTCTGCTCTGGTGACAGGAGAGCCACATATGTTGTTTCATGTTTGCATGGGGTGGGAGCCAAGGATGTAGAGGCTGCTGGACAGATATATGAGCTGAAAAGAAAGAGGGGTGGGGGGAAAAACGTAGTCTATCATTAGATTCCATTTTTCCACAGTTCTAAAAGACATGCTTGTGCAACCTGCTAGGACACTTTGCTTCCACTGTTAAGAACAGCACACAGGAAGCCATTTACGGTTAATAAAAAACAACTTTATTGAACCTATTATGCAAGGCTACTCATCCTTATTCACCAGTAGATGACTATCTATCTATCTACAGACATACCTCTTTTATAGAATACTTTTAACATCACTGCCCACCTGGCCAAGAAGTCAAGGATACCATGTTTCGTTAAGGAAACCATGAATTTAGGCTTAAGGTGACTTTACATTGTTTCTTTCTTGTGAGGATTTAAGTTGGCATAATTTGCTTTTTCTTGAACATGCTCTTTAAGATGTTCCCGCACAAAGCAGCCCACATCTTAATTACATAGCTGAGATAGTTCCATACTTCTTCTGTATACTCTATCCTGATCACATATGAATTAGCAATTTGTGTTCTGTAAGCAAAAGAGTGCTTTACGGGCCCAAGAAGACACTTCTATTTTGTTCTGTCTGGGGTATTATTCACTTTCCTAGTGGGTTTTCATGATAGTGTGATATAATTATATGAAATCAATACATTAAAAACAAAATGTTCTTCAATTGACAAAGGGGAATACCTATGTTGTTTCTTGTAACTGGAACTAGTAAAGTTTGTGTTAGTGGCAATACCTGTTCTGCACTGGTTGGGGCCAGATTCTCAGCTAGTCTAAACTGGCATAGCTCCATATCCTTCAATTTACACAAGCTGAGTATCTAGTTTTGATAACCCAAGAAGATACTGAGTCAAATTCATCCCCAGGTAACTCCAAGGAGGTCACTTGATTTATACCAGGGAGGAGTTTGGCCTATCATGTTCCTTGAATGATACCTGACTGCAAAAGCTAGAAGAGAGAAGGATGAGAACTTGCATCTGCAAGAGGTGGAAGAATGATCCTTCAGTCATGGATCAAATAATTTTGCAAAAATATCTGTGCTCATTTCAGTCATCCCATTCTGAGGCAGTACTTTTGAGAGGCAATATTTTGATTCATTTGCGTGGTTGCATCTAGTTTAAAATCCACAATCCCTATTTTCCAGCAGAGGTCCCCGTCTTCACATCCCACACCCCAAATCAACAGGAGTTCCACATTAAACTTAATGCCTCATGGAAGACTCTGGTGAAGCTCTCCGGCAGGGATTCAAACTATGGGCTTTGTTTGCTCTATCAGTCCTGTAACAGTCTTTGAACATTGTTTTCTGCGTGTGTTTTATTTCTAACAGCAACATTTCTTTCCCCCTGGTGTCATCCCTTCCCAATAAAGAAAGGGTAACTAAAACAAATGACTATGAGGAATGATGGTCTTGTGGTTAAAGTACTGGATGGGGACTTAGAGATTGGGGTTCACATCACAGTCTCACTGCACAACCTTGGGACAATCACTTAGGCTGAGATTTTCAAAGCTGTCATAGGGAGTCAACTTTTAACGGAAATTATCCCTAAGATTGCTTTAAAAATCATACCCTTAGTCTCTTTATTTTTCAGTTCCTCATCTGTAAAACGTGGAGAATAGTCCTCCTTTACCTTTGGAGGATGTTTTGAAGATAAATATGCTAATGATTTGGAGATAGTCAAATACCATATAAGCTTCTAGATAGATGTAACATAAAATTTACACAATTTGTAAATGTACAATTTTAAAAGCATATATAGTATACTTAGTAGTTTCTATGAGACTACAGTGTTTGTAAGGAGCAAACACATTTTTAAACTCCTGTTTTAGACTAAAATATAGATACCTTTTTAAAAAGTGGTTTATTTACTTCATAGACTATACCGGGCTCTTCAGTATTGTTATGCAAATCTTTGATTTATGATATTCTGTTGGGTGTAGTGTCATAGCAAGTTATAGTACAGGATCCTTTCCCACACTTATTCAAGAGCATATTAAGGAAATAATATAGGAAAATGCTACAAGTACATAAGTAATCAGCTTTCTAACATTAAATCTACCCTTTTAAACCATAAAGGAACTCAATCAGTCATCATTATAATTTAATGGTCTGAAAGAAGCACCAGAAGAGTAAACTTCTTGTCTTTCATTCTTGCAATTTAAAACATTATTTTTTCATAAAAAGGCAATTTAAAAGGACTCAGTATCTTAACTGTTAGTGGCAAATTGTCAGGGGAATTTAGCTGTACAAATCAGAGCCCTCCTACTCCCATTTGCTGCTGTCTATGCTGGGATGCTGTCCTAGGCTTCCAGATGAATGGAACATAGCTGCCTATGCAACTCAGTTTTGTTCTTCCCTGCTCACTGGGGAGTTTTATGATACTTCAGCTCTGTGGGGATAGGGAGGCCAGGCTTTCTCTGCTGAAATTATTCTTCTTGATAGAACATTGCTATCATGGCTTCTTTGCTTAGCCTAAATTGGGACTAAGAATTAACAGGAAAACATCTAGTAACCATATATGGCCATAGTAGCTTTTGCAGGATGGGAGGGTCAAGATGCATTGCTATAAACTTTAGTTTTTCAGTGTCACTTCCATTTCCTTGTGATTTGTCATGCACTGCACTGAACATCATGTTCAATAGACTTCAGATTGTGGCAGAGAAAAATCACAAATCTGGGGAGAAAACTGCCATATCTTCGTATTCTGTGCATAAACATAGACATTCAGCACACACACAGAAATTGGAAGCTTTTGAGTATGTAAACATCCACGTTGTTACCCAGGGTTCTTTCAACCCAAAGCTCTTGGTAACTTTTACTCTGTGCAATGTGGTGTCAGGAAATAAATCAGGGAGACACAGCCCTCCAACCATCAACACAAGGGTGCTTTCACTTAAAGCTAAACTTTACTTAGTGTCAAGCACTTACACGCAACAGTAAAACACCCCCAATCTTTGATAATTGCCAAAGCTGAGTGTGGCTCTCGAGTGGCACAGCGGGGGCCGGTCTGCTGGTGGGGAACACAAGATGCATCCAGAGAGAGAGTTCCCCTACCTCAAACTTTTCCTCCTTATTTATACATTAGTAATACAATCACGTCACTTAAAGAAAACTTGTTAAGCAAGCAGTTTCAAAGGTCAAGCAATAGGTTTCCTTCTGGTCATCGATTAACCAGGTGTGGTTTTTTCAGAGTTTGCACACCTTGAGGCCCCTAAAATGCATGTATCAGCAATGTCAACACAATTCTTATCAGGAAGGATGCGGGGGTCAAGCTACCCTTTCTGTGGCACCCAAAACACCCTCCCCTTCTGCCTTGGTTAAGCTAAGCCTGCTCATGGCCACTTTATGGCCTGCTGACTTGGCTACTTTTAGCAATCAGCAATAGTGGTTTCAGGCACTTTACTGGTTTGCCAAAATCTCCCTGTACAACATGAGAAACTAAACGAGCTTCCTGAATTCTAAAGGAAAAAGGATTTATAATGCAGTCTGGATTTGGTGACCACAAATCTTCTGCAGCTGCTTAATTTGAAACATGTGAATAGTCGCATTTACTTCAGTGAAATTACTCATGTGCTTAAAGTTAAGCATATGTGTGTTTGCAGGATCAGGACTAAACTGATCAATAGCCATATTCGTGCCTTAGACAAGGATAGTAAACCTTAACAGTTCCTTTGGGTACGTGAACGGGATGATGCTTATATCCTCAGACTACAGGGGATCCTTGGGTTCAAATCTACTATTGCTCCATGCTTGAGCCAGTTGGCTTCCTGCAGCTGATGCATTTATAATCCATACCCAGGACTTTCTAGAGTAATTAATGTACTGTCTAGAATAAGTGCATGGTGCATCTTTATTCAGCTACAGCACCTCTTTTGTAATGGACTAATAATTAGAAAATGTGTAACCGCAACACATCTATTTTATATGAAAATAGACTTCATTTCGGAAATGTTTGTAGATAAAGGTGTTGGTGTCAACCATAATACTCTCGGCCAAGATAAAAAAAATTCACAGCAGGGGCCTTTGTAAAAATGATTATAACGGCTGCTGTCATAATTAAATATGAATAAAAAGGACATTTTTCTTTGTAAATGCATCCACTAGAAAAAAAGATCACAGAACCAGACTCTATTCAATTCCATGCTGATTCAAAATGAAGTGAAGATAACAACTACATTGTTTTAATCAATCTAAGTACCTTTATGGCCCTCAGCACCATAGTATCTATGAGGACCTCACAATCATGAATGGATTTTATCCTCACAAAGACCCTGTGAGTAAGGGAGGCATTTTCCTGTTTCACAGATGAGGAACTGAGGCACACAAAGATGAAGTGACTTTTCCATGGTCACCCTGAAAGTCTTTGGTGGAACAGATAATTGAATCCAGGTTTCCTGAATCCCTCCATTGTTTTGTCCACTAGATCAGTCTTCCTATCATTTATAACATACATGTTACTGGAACGTTGTATGCCAGTGTTAAGAGGTAATAACTACTCCTTTGCTTGTTTGTAGGGTTTTAGGAAACAAACATACATCCCTTAGAGGTTTCCACGCAACAGGGAAATGGCACAGACTACTGAGAAACTAAACCGTATGCTGTTAACTAGCCTAGTGGGTTTATGCTAATATAAAATGTAATAAAAATAGAGGCCACTCTCCCTTTAAGATGAAAGGAAGGAAACGTGTATCAGCTTCCAAGGAATGACTAGCGTGTACTTATCTAATTGACTGTATATTTTGTCTAGGTGTTGAGGGAAAGCTAAGAGAATGAAGACTCTAAGCCCACAGTGGAAGCATGATATGGCGATGCAGTGCTGGTGCTGAATTGTTCTCTCTGATGGCTCTATGGGAGTGGATAGCACTGAGTCTTCATTGCTGGGTTTTAGCGGTTGCTGCTGTTTCGGATCAGCATGCCACAAGCTCCTTCGACTGGCTCCTCTCTGATAAGGGACCCTTCCATCGCTCACAGGAATACACAGATTTTGTGGACAGAAGTCGACAGGGATTTAGCACAAGATACAAGATTTACAGGTATGAAGCCAAGGGAAGGCAATTATAGAGCTTTCATCCTTAGAAGTTATACATACATAATAAGAGTTTGTTTGTTTTTTAAGGGAAAGTGTCAGGTGTGGGGACAAACTCATAGAGAAATTAACTGCTGAAATATATGTAGGGCCATTTTTGCATTATATATTATGGGAATGCTTGCTTATGCTGTTTTTGTCGTGCTTTAAGAGATTTTGGTGACTGATAAAGTTGATCTGGAAATAATTGACAGCAACCATCTGTTCCCGAAATTCCTGGGCTCTCCTCCAAAGTAACATTAACTCCCAATAATATCCTTAGACATTAATTTATCTTCCCTAATTGCTGAGGGACAGATCATAGCACCTTTGTTCACCCAGAATAGTACCTTGCTTCTCGAGGAGTTCCGTTGACTGAAACCTATGACAAAACATTGACTTCAGTGGGGCCAGGATTTCACCCAGACTCAGTATCAGTAGCTTAAAATGGCTTAAAGATTTTAGATATAGGTAGGTCCGTGGTTTCAAAAGCAGCTTTTAACTTTGGATTCTTCATTCCTAAGGACCTGATCTTCCACAATGTGGAGCACCCTTAGGTGCTATTGACTGGAGCTGTGGGTGCTCAGCCCTTCTGAAATCAGGCATTTAGTTGGCCTGTTTATGGTTGAATAGACAAAAACAGGCACCCAAATTAGAGGCCAGTTTTGAAAATGCAGGTTTCACTGCAGAATTGCTTTTGCTGATTGTCTGCAGCCTGCCAGTCCTCCATCCTGCTGAATCAGCACGAACAGCTACATCCCTCTTGTCACTATGACAAGGTAAACAATTCAAGACGTACTTTAACAAATATGTTATCTTTAAAAAAGAAATGGGAAGTAGAAGGGAGAATACAATGGGATGGTAGAGAACGTATGGGTAAAGGGAAAGAAGGGAAAAAAGGGGTCACAGGAGACAAAGGGAAAAGGAGGGAAGTCTGACAGAAGACACATTTTTCTCTCTTAATGTTCTGAACACAGCCAAACAGTTCTCCACCAGCCAAAGTAAAGAGGCTTCAACAATACAGTACAGGCCATCTGTCAGCTTCTCCCATAATGCAGCCCCCCTATCTGCACTTAAGCCCATAAAATGGTTTACCTGTGTTGCACAGATTGGTCTGTGGCACTTTCCAGCTCTTTTGTAAACAGGAAGCAGTGACTTAGAGAAAGGGAAAAGATTATTTATTTATTTGCCTGTGTGTTCAACCAAATTGCTGGTAATTTGTAATGGGTTTTTTTTTTTTAGAATGTTGAAGCTGATGCATTTTGTATGTTAAAACACCTTGCCTATTTCCTTTTCTTGTGCGTGCACCAGAGGGCGCTGTGTTGCAGGTCAATTTTGCTGTAGGATTTTCTGCAGCATAAAGAGGGATTTAAAAACATTTTGTAATAAAATGGGATTCAGAAATATGCACTGATGAAGTAATCTGTCTCAACAAAATAGTAGCACTCGATATGTACTGCATTTTAAGAGCCAGCCATCAGAGCCAATAATATAAAGTCTGAAAGAATGTATTTTATTTGTATTATTTTCTATTAGTCAACAGTGAACCAACATTATCTTGGTAACAAAATGAAAGAAGTGTATTTTAGTTTAATCCTTTCAATACGGTCATGGAGAATGTACCATGTCCAACCACCTTTATGACTACAAGAAGCTGAGGTGGTTTTTTTGTGTTTTTTTTTCCCTCCTCCTCCAAGCCATCATTATAGAAACATTGTCAAGTCTGGCAGGTCTATAATCAGACCTGTCATATTTGTTTAAGTTTGTGGGTGTATTTACATTGCTCCATCCCTCAGAGAGCAGGATTTGTGTATATTTCAATACCATGCCTACTCCCCTCAAGAAATGTGCAGGCAGGCAAAACAGAAGAGTAGAACATTAAATTGCTACTGCTGATCAACAAGAAACAGCACCCTGTGAAGATCAATTCCCCAGATAAGAAACCTAACCGTAAGATTTCCGTATAAGAATACCACACTCTTAATATGTTGTTCATAACCAATGTTAAATATGGGAAAATACTATAAAATATTGGAGAATTTTTTAAAATAAAGGTTGTTTTTAATCCCTATTGATTTTCTATGGACTGTCACAGATACAGGTATTTGGGGCCTAGTTGTGCTCCTCCTGCCTGACAACCCTCCCTATTTCCTGCATGAATGCAACCCTACCATGTCCAGGGTTAAAGGAAGGTGGTGTCAGCTGCCTTCATGTCATCACATCCACATTAGCCCCCAAAGGCTCGCCAGTGGATTGCTGATGATGACTGGGGAGGGGATGAAATGGACTGAGAGAATGAATTATTTTATGTATGATTCCCTTCTGTGCTTCCCATTGAGGAGGTTGTGGGAGCATTGCTGGCTGGCGTAGCCTTTATAACACAGCAGTGATGGAATAGGTGGCGTGATTCAGGGCAAATAGTTTGAAGTGTTCCTTGTGAAGTTCATTTTTCACCAGAGTCCTCTTTCAGTGGCTCTTTCAACAGATGAAGGTAATAGAATCCTCGTGTATTGTGTGGAGTAGCTGCTAGCATATGGGGAGTAGGAGCAGTGACTAAAAACCAACCTGTATTTTGGAAGGTAGATTTCTGCACTGCAGGGACAGAACTAGCTGCAGCAGGCAGCAGCTCACTTGCTGTCTCTGCAGCCCAGAGCCCCACCAGCCAATATGGAAAGTGACTCATTTGATCTCTAGATCCACACCCCACATCCTTACACAACTGCTCTACTCAGTTATTGTCTAATCAGCAACAGCCTAAAGCTGACTAGGTGCTCATATAAATACATATAAATAAAATAATCATAGTAAAAGTCTTCAGCTGCTGGAAACCTGTATTTTGTGACATATTTAACTACTGTTCAAAAATGTATTGTTAATGGTGCCTTTTTTTCTTGTGGATGATGTTTGATCAGGAGGAGGGCACAACGTATGATTTTTGCTTTCCAAAAGCAGAAAAATTATGCTATGACTAAAATTCTGTTCTGTTTCCCATAGGATATTTTTGCTTTAGCAGCCTCAGGAGATGCAGTGAGAATTTAGAATAAATAAAAAATCAGTTAAATAATTCATTTCCACATTTTTGTATTTCAGTGTAGTATTTTCTATTACAATCATGTTGACAATAAAAAGAGATCATTCATTTTATCTTGTTGTAGATCTTTATTCTCTAGCATTTTACTGTTTCTGTAAATATGCATTAAATGTCCTTATTTAAAGACACGACCCTGTATCATTAAAACCAGTGCAAGTTTTGCCGTTGACTTGAATGGGAGCAGGATCATGCCCTAAATGCCCAACAAAAATACAGAATTATTAAAAGCAGGACAAAATGATAGACCACTGACGTGTCAAATACCAAGAAGAATGGGATTTTACTATGACTAGTGCTAAAAGCCTGATGGCTATGCTGAATGGGGGAGCTCTGTGGGAGCATTTTGCGGCTGTCTGATAACTATTGCCTGAAAACAATCTTATACAATCGAACTCAAGAATATTCATTGACTAAGAATCTCCAGTTGTAACTGGACAAGTTAGATTTGTTTGAAAACCATCATTCTCATGTCAGAGGATAGATCAATTTTAGATGTTTTGTCTAGGTACGTCTGTCTAGATATAAGTCTAAGCCCACAATACAATCTAACTTCCTTGAGTTTCCATTACTTTAATTTTCATTATCCACTGGGTTCCCAAACTACATAACCTACCTACATTTTAGAAAGTCATGCTCTGGGCTAAAACACTTATCAAAATCTCCAGACCCGTATGTTCTAAATTCTACAGGTACAAACACCAAGATTATATGCTGATGTTCCTAATTTCTCTCTATTTCCTAATTTTGTTTGTATATCCATGTAGTAGAGAGAGAACGAATCATGTTGCACAAGCGCTCTCTTGTCACTATAAACGAGCATTCACCTTGCCATGAAAGTTATTGGTGGTATAAATCGTAGAGATAAAGTCAAAGGTTGGTACTGTGTGAGTGGTGCATATTAACTGAATCGTTTTTTTATAGAAGGTTCCTAACCTAAGCAGAACAGGCACATTTCTGAAGGAAAAAGGTGTAATTTCTCCCACCTCCTTATTTAGCTTTCAGAGAGTATAACAGCCAGTGAAAATAAAACAGGCACGTGAAGTAGGGAAGAACAGTGTTAGTGCCTGGCTAGTTGTTATATTTTAGTCCCTTAACTGAGGATCAATTATTTCTCTGTGTCTACATAGGCAAGTGATCTGATTCTGCAAAAGTACAGAGTGCTTTCAACTCCCTCAACACTAGGGCAGGGCTGGAAGCTAGCACACACATAATTTGCTGTATTCCTGTTAGTTACAGGAATCAGAGAACAATGCAGTATTACAACTAATGTTATAGACTGTGCCACTAAAAAGGTAGTCATTTTCTGCACTGCAGTATGATATTCCCTATAATTTTCAATATGCCATGGACAAATTTAACTACTGCAGAGGGTGAATCTTTTGTTTTTTGCGGACTCCACTACAATTAAGTTACAGACAAAGCTGTGCAGGAAAGCACCAGGACTGCTTCTGAAGAAGTGTGCTGGCCTCTAAATTAGCTGGATTGCTGTACTGATATTTTATGATACTTTCTGTGTTGAATTTCAAGTTTGTGCTTTGTTATTGAATACTCACACACTACACAGTGTTACTTATGCAAATCAGCAGGCAGGGAAGTGGGATCTAAAACCAGACAAAAGGAGACTTGAGAAATGCTAAGGATGGAAAGAGTGATTGGGAAATTGGGGAAAGCAGGTGTAAAGATCATTCTTTCGTGGATTGTTTAGAACATTACAACTATGTATTGTGGACCTGACTGCACACTTGCCTTTGTCATATAGAGCTCCTTGCTAGATTGAGTAGGAATCTGTGTAATTTTTCTACTGTAATCTGACCGTTTCCTTCCAAAATTTGTGATGTATCAGCCAGGATTATTTCCTCTTTTTCTTTTCTACCTAT